GGGAAGATATTGGAAGCATAATGTATTACCTAATGGTAGACCCTGCTGCCATATGTGACCAAGTCCCAGGTTGATGATCTGACTTTCTGCCTCATTTACACACAGTTGCAGGGTCTCAATTGTTTCTCTTACTATTGACAACACAACATATATATATATATATTTCCATGTAAATCCACAATGAAAAAACGTGGATAAGATAAATCTTGATAAAAATCACACGGAAAATGGAAACAACGGAGTACCTTAGCTTTTTGCCCTTATTCAAGACATCTTCAGAGGCAACTAGATTACATGGACAGAGAGAGGCTTAAATATACAGGGTGACCTAAAAACATGAGGTCAGGTCATAATGATGACATCCACTAATCCCCACACCAACACAACCTTAGAGGAGCTTAAGAGAAGGGTGGTGACGTGACTAGACAGGTCAGGTCAGAAAAAAGGGACCCACAAAATAACTGTCATACATCAAGATCAAAGGTTTTCAAAGCAGTTTTAACCTTGTTGTTTCATTTTCCTGTAAGATTTTATCAAGATATATATATATATATATATATATATATATATATATATATATATATAAATATATTGTTTCTCACAATTGATTTTTTTAATTTCTGTATTTTGTCTGTTTGTTTTGTCTTTCCCTCCCCCTCTCTCTCTACCCCGACTTTACTTTTCCAACAACAAGAAATCGATCGTGAAGGCGGTGGGCGGGCGGTGGGTGGGTGGGTGGGTTGGTGGGTGAGTGGATTTGTAAGTGGGTTTGTGGGTAGGTGGGTTTGTGGGTAGGTGGGTTTGTGGGTAGGTGGTGTCAATGATCTAAATACAGGTGGGTGGTCGTCTTCATGGTGGCACTTAAGAAAGACCAGATTGAATCAAAAACAACATCCCGTAATTAACATGATGCTACCACACAAAGGCGAGCACTTGGGTGTGTCTAACCATCTATTCACACTCTAAACAGCCTTAATATACTAATGCCTAAAACAATTCAGTAACAGAACCGACAAAAAAAAATTAGATTGTTAATAAATTATATATTATTACAATTATATCACTCAAGATTATTATATGAGTTTAATTCTAATAAATCAACTTTGTATATTTTAGTGTGTTTACGTGATTCTCCACTGTAGACTCATTGTGTGGTTTAGGTCGGCACGCGAGAGTAAAATTCTAATTCACTTTTACTCGCAAATTTGACCAAAAAAGAAATCTCTCTCTCTCTCTCTCTCTCTCTCTCTCTCTCTCTCTCTCTCTCTCCACCTGTCACTGTCAATTTATTTTCTCCTCATCTTCACTCTAAAATAATGTCACAAAAATATTATAATTAGGAATTTTCAGAGCATTTTTTTTTACTAATCATATGTTTGTGTGTGTGTGTGAGAGTGTGTGTGTGTGTGTGTGTGTGTGTGTGTGTGTGTGTGTGTGTGTGAGAGTTTGACCACTGCAGCTGACAAATGACTCCCGTTCCACAACTTGTAACTGAGACAAATTGTGTGTGTCTCTCTCTCTCACGGTTTATCACCTTAGTAAATACATCATAAATGAGAGAAACTTTTGGCGTTGTAATATTTCCTCGCGAACTTGGGATCACCTGAAGATTAGACACCCTAGGTTAATTTGATATGATGATTAAATATTCTTAAGTTATAATGGAAGGGTTAGGTTAGGTTAGGTTAGGTCAGGTCAGATTAGGTTAGGTTAGATTAGGTTAGGTTAGGTTAGGTCAGATTAGGTTAGGTTAGGTTAGGTTAGGTCAGGTCAGATTAGGTTAGGTTAGATTAGGTTAGATTAGTGCTATGGTATTTAATCAATAGATGAAACAAATGAGGGTGTCTTATCTTCAGGTAAATAACAAACTTTATCACATATTCGTCAAGAGAAAGCAGAAGAGGTAGTGTAGTTAAACCCTCACTAACTCACCATAAAAACTCTATAAATATCCACAGTTGCACCACATTACTCATAATGGCTTCACCTCAACCAAGTCCACCACCAATATTATTTGTTTAATACTTAGAAACACAAAACAATGATTCTGAGTTGAGGTTATGACACGGGGAAGAAAGTGATCGAAAAGTCCCTGTGTACACCTGTGATAATTAACCATAAGGTGATCGAAAAGTCCCTGTGTGCACCTGTGATAATTAACCATAAAGTGATCGAAAAGTCCCTGTGTACACCCGTGATAATTAACTATAAAGTGATCGAAAAGTCCCTGTGTACACCTGTGATAATTAACCATAAGGTGATCGAAAAGTCCCTGTGTACACCTGTGATAATTAACCATAAGGTGATCGAAAAGTCCCTGTGTACACCTGTGATAATTAACCATAAGGTGATCGAAAAGTCCCTGTGTACACCTGTGGTGATCGAAACACCTGTGTCCCTGTGTACACCTGTGATAATTAACCATAAGGTGATCGAAAAGTCCCTGTGTACACCTGTGATAATTAACCATAAAGTGATCGAAAAGTCCCTGTGTACACCTGTGATAATTAACCATAAAGTGATCGAAAAGTCACTGTGCACCTGTGATAATTAACCATAAAGTGATCGAAAAGTCCCTGTGTACACCTGTGATAATTAACCATAAAGTGATCGAAAAGTTCCTGTGTACACCTGTGATAATTAACCATAAGGTGATCGAAAAGTCCCTGTGTACACCTGTGATAATTAACTATAAAGTGATCGAAAAGTCCCTGTGCACCTGTGATAATTAACCATATTGTAATTTCCCTATAGTCGTTCATTGGTGCTGCACAGGGACTTTTTGATCACTTTTTATAAACTTTCTCCTACGGCAAATATAATCAAACCAGCGCTTTATATTTTGACAGGAATATATTTTTTTATAGTAAAGTAATGAAAATATTAGAGAAAGTTTAGCTCATATTTATTTTAAGGTGATAGTAACATTCACATAGTTTATTCTTTTATGTAAAATTTAAGTCCAGGAAGATATAGTCGTTTAAAACATGCAGGTAACAGTGGCAGGTGTACTCTAATGATGGGTTTTCACTTGTGTGTGTCTACCTGTCCGCTCATGTTGTCGGTAACCAGTAATAAAATAATGTAATCTGTTCATTTTCTCTCTCATTTTCTCTTAACCTGATTTGCATTCTCTCTCTCTCTCAAGTAATGCCTCTAACTATCCATCTTCACTACAAGTCATTAGTGCTCACGGTCACCTCCAACATCTACACACGAGGTCAAAATAGTCTATCTACCGCCTTCACAAACCCACATAATTACTCTTGTCTTTCACGAGAGTCAGATTATACGTAAGACTATAATCATTTACAAATACGACAAAAATGGCGTTTATATGTACTAGAGACTCGAGATGTTTTTCTTCCTTGAACCAATTGTCAAGATAATGATGTCATTCTGTCGCGCTGCTAAACACAGGTATTGAGGGAGGCAAACAATAATTACGGTTTATGTATTAGAGATGTAAGAGATATTTACGTTGAGGATACACAACTCTGACCTAGTATGTCGTCAAGGTCCTGTTGTGGTGTTGACGATGTGTGTGTGTGTATTATGTTGTTGAGGAGAGGAACATTCTCTCTCTCTCTCTCTCTCTCTCTCTAATAATAATAATAATAATAATTAACGGTTTATCAAAAGAGCATGGCAGCTGGAAGGCTGAAAATATACAGTTACATAATTGGGGAATGGGTCTCTTGATTAACTAATATAATACAAGTAACATAAGTGATACAAATATGATATATAATAACTAGGTGGGGAGAAGGTCATACTGCAGGGCATTTCAACACAATGACAGTACAAGAAGTAGGATTTACTGGGAGTGAATATACTGGTTCATTATACGTTATTGATAATTTTTACAATGGTTGGGACTGGGCTGTTCTTATAGCGATCAGTTCCTGCACTTATGGGCTGGATGCGGTTGTGGTGTCAAACAGAAATTCTCGGACGAGGGATCTCGGGTGGTAGTAGGAGCCGGTGTCGAGGATGGTGCAGAAGTTTCTCACCAAATTTGCAGATGAGGTCGTGGTGATGATCAGTGAGAGTCGAAAGGGTCAGTGTGTTGAGCGCTACTTGATATGAGGTGTTTACGTTGTGTGGCATTTAGGGAGGAAGACTAGGTAGGGGAGGCATAGGTGAGCTTGGGAAGTATGAATGTTGAGTAAACACTGAGGAGCTCGGGCGCAGGAACTTCGAGGGACTTGGCGGAGGAGATAGAGACGGAAACTGGAGGATTTGACAATTTCACTGACGTGTGTTTTCCAATTTAGTTTGTTGTCTATGGTGACGCCTGCCTGCCTGCCTGCCTGTCTGTCTGAACTACAGCCAAAACACCCTCGTCTGCACCGTCCTCTATTCAAGCCTGTACCTGAAACGTGAAAGAAAATTAAGGATTCATTATTAAGACTTTGTATAGAGAGTGGAATGAGTGAACCAGAGGGAGAAGAGAGAGCATGACATATACCATTGATGTCTCTTTCATATCAGAGGGTTGACTCGTAAATGTTAAGGCCTGAATCATCTCCAGGAAAATAGATATAAAAAATTAACCTGTAAGTAAGATATATATAGAAGTTTGTTACATTTAAACTCATAATACTTGCAATTAGATAGAAACACACGACCTAACAAAAAACTGCCGGGGCGACAGTCTCTCCCTGAGGAACTCCCGAGTTATGGCAACAGCTGCAGAAAGTGAGAATCATTTAGTTTTTATAATAAAAAAGTGAAACTAACCTAATCTAAGTGACTTGACTGGACATACACGCAGAAATGATGTCCTGATCAGAACAAAACGTCAACTCTCAATGCATCAGTTACAGCACATCAGCAGGTCGACCTCAGAGAAGATCTGGGTGATGGCCTCAATACAATCAGGGATGTGGTCCTCTTGTTACACAACTCTAAGACGACACGGCGTTGTGGCGACCACACAGCGGCTTTTACGACGCAACGAAACAGGGGAAACTAAACGATGCAGGTGGAGGAGGAGGAAGGGGAGGTAGCGAGCAGGTATATAGAGGACTAAACTCAGTCGAGCAGCACAGTCGATCCAAGACAGCCAAGCAGCATGTTCTCGGTAAGACCTCCCGGGACTGTCCTGGTCTGGGAACTCATCATGGATCTCAACTCTTGAATAACAAAGTATTATATTTCTGCAGCCAACAGCATTGATTATGATGATGGAAATTTTGCTTACAGAAGTTGGTCCTGTGTGTCTTACTGGCAGTAGTGGCTGCCAAGCCCCAGGAAGGATACGGGGCACCTCAGCAATCCTACACCTCTTCAGGTTCTGTAGTTCCCATCGTGAAGGACGAGCGTCAAGGACCTGATGCGGACGGCAACTACAACTTCGAGTTCGAGACTGGTGACGGCATCAGTCGTCAGGAGCAGGGCGCCCCCCATGGGGAAACTGGCGCCGTGGCAGCCCAGGGAGGATGGGCGTCAGTATAACATTGTTCACTTAAAGTTACATTGAAGTTGCACCTTGTCATAAGCAAACTGACATTCTCAAAATATATTTTTGTTCCTGTCAATTGTCTTCCTCCAGCCAGCTGAAGACAGCGTCTCTCATACCCACTTCTTCTTCAGGTTCAAATTCCCCGACGGTAGTCCCGGTGTCTTCAACTTCGTGGCCGACGCTGCAGGTTACAAGGTACAGTCTGACCTGCTGCCCACGCCCCATCCTCTCCCCGCCCACGCCATACAGCAGATCGAGTTCGCCCGTCAGCAAGAAGCCGCAGGACCCGGACCCCAGTACGGCGCTCCTCCCTCCCCAGGATACAACTGAACGATGAACCTCTCACCCACCAGCCTCACCCACCTACTGACCGGCCCAACCTCACACAATGACCCAAAAGAAAACTTCATTTTAGTCTTCAACGCCAGATGATTGTGGATTTGTGATACTTACAAAATGGAAGCCATAGACTTTAACTGAAGCTTGGCAAGATGAGCAGGTGTACTACACTTGTCTACAGCTGGAAGCACCAGTTGGGTTTTATGTTGTCTTTTGGTTAATAATCTCAGTCATATTTATGTGTCTATGACGGCCACCGCCAAGGCTCACTATGGCCGCGTGTGACATTCTTCAACTTGCTGGTCGACCACTACCACGGTTATGCTCAGTGGTCCGTGCCAGACTACCTGATACCTTAGATAACTAAGCCTCCGTCTCCACCCTTGACTATGTCTTTAACAGTGTGTATATTAGTTTAGTTTATCTCTGTGTGTTATAATGTTTATTAAACGAATTATCAATTACATTTAATATTTCTCTAATCTCCCTTACACTGCCCCTAAAGGAACATATTTATTACCTTTTACCTTCTCAAAATATACATTATACGGTGACCGTCAGACACTGATGTTGTCACAATCTCTATGGAATATACCAAATAGTTGCTGCTGCTGCTGCTGCGCTATGTGTACTCGGTAGAAACTCGAATACACGATATATCGGCGAACATCATCATCAGCCCAAAGGACACACTGATACACCTACACAGTCCTACACCAGCTACTGACGTCATTACTGACTATTTCTTGAAAGAAGAATGGCTAACTTATAGAGGAATTTTATGGGACTGTTTAAGTTATAGAGGTTTTCAAAGCTCTTTGAAGGACCAGTTTCCCGGCTATCGTCAAGAACATCCCTGCGTCCTTCAGGAGTTATCGGGTCCACACGCAGGACAGACCGCGGGCGTAGGAAGATCTTGATCACGTCGCCGCCCAAGATGTAATATTAACCGAAGAACTTGTTCCTGGGTTTAATTAAGAATTAAATTAACAACATAAAAACTAAATTTTTTCGGCTCGTCAACTTGCAACTGTGAGTAAACCACAAATCTTATTTATTACTTGTTTATTAAACATAAAGTTACTTTTGTTACTTGGTAGATTTATAAGTGAAAGTTTTGTCTTCATTCATTACTGAACAGTTCTTCTCCACTGTGTAAAGTGTTTAGTCATTCTTGAGGCAAAAGCTGATAATATCCCAAGACTTTACTCAAACATTCACTGTATCAAACTTTGTGGGAATTGTCTCCTGTTAATATATAATGAAAGGGGCTTCAGGCGGCGCCCCTCCTACTAGTTGATGGTGGCGCGAGTAGGGGAGGACCTGTACAGTGTACAGTCTCTCCTGAAGGTGAAGACTGAAGGTGTTAGAGCAGTAGAAGTGAACCTTTGATGTGAATAAATGAATGAATATTTTAACATAATCATTATTGTTAGATATTTATTGGATCACCTCTAAGAATTAAATAAAACATCACTAGAGAAGGATTAAATAATGTAGCACAATTAACTTTTGTATAATTTCGACTACTTTTTCAATTTCATTTCATCATCTTCTGAGGAAATACGAACACACGACCATCCTAAAAAAAACTGCCATGGTAGCAGTTTCTCTCTAGGGAACACCTGTGTTATGACGACAGTTGCAGAAAGTAATATTTATTTAGTTAAGATAACTAAAAAGAGAAAGTAACCTAACCTAACCTAACACTAACTGATCATTATTATGCCATGGGTATTATGAGGTCGTTATTACCTATAATTAAACTTGGTTGGCTAGAGATAAAGCATTACATTTCCAACACTAATTTTACACGTTGTAGCAACAAGTAATGTTATCTCATGAACAAGGGAACATTTTCTAGTTTATGTCTCAGTTTATGAAAGTTTTTAGTCTGTTGATTATATTGTGGTGGACGGTGTTTACTTGGAGTCTTTCTTTATTATTTTGATGCAATACGACAACAAAGACAAAGACAGACAGTAAGAGATTATGCTATGATCATAACCAAATACCAACCATCACTATATCAGTTACCATTGACCAGTTGAGATGGACCAGTTACCTTCGACCGGTTACCATCGACCAGTTGAGATGGATCAGTTACCATGGATTAGTAGGTCGAACTTACAGGTGTGGGTGATGGCCTCAATACCCTCAGGGATGTGGTCCTGGTGTGACACAAAGCTAAGACGACAATACGGTGATGTGGCGACCACACGACGGCTTTTACGACGCCAGAAAACAAAGAAGAAAAGGAAATGGTGCTGGAGGAGGAGGAGGAAGAGGAGGTAGGGAGCAGGTATATAGAGGACTAAACTCAGTCGAGCAGCACAGTCGGTCCAAGACAGCCAAGCAACATGTTCTCGGTAAGACCTCCCGGGACTGTCCTGGTCTGGGAACTCATCATGGATCTCAACTCTTGAATAACAAAGTATTATATTTCTGCAGCCAACAGCATTGATCATGATGATGGAAATTTTGCTTACAGAAGTTGGTCCTGTGTGTCTTACTGGCATTAGTGGCTGCCAAGCCCCAGGAAGGATACGGGGCACCTCAGCCATCCTACACCTCTTCAGGTCCCGTGGTCCCCATCGTGAAGGACGAGCGTCAAGGACCTGATGCGGACGGCAACTACAACTTCGATTTCGAGACTGGTGACGGCATCAGTCGTCAGGAGCAGGGCGCCCCCCATGGGGAGACTGGCGCCGTGGCAGCCCAAGGAGGATGGGCGTCAGTATTTTAGATTCCTGCTTTAACAATGTTCACTTAAAGTTACATTGAAGTTGCACCTTGTCATAAGCAAACTGACATTCTCAAAATATATTTTTGTTCCTGTCAATTGTCTTCCTCCAGCCAGCTGAAGACAGCGTCTCTCATACCCACTTCTTCTTCAGGTTCAAATTCCCCGACGGTAGTCCCGGTGTCTTCAACTTCGTGGCCGACGCTGCAGGTTACAAGGTACAGTCTGACCTGCTGCCCACGCCCCATCCTCTCCCCGCCCACGCCATACAGCAGATCGAGTTCGCCCGTCAGCAAGGAGCCGCAGGACCCCGACCCCAGTACGGGGCTCCTCCCACCCCAGGATACAACTGAACGATGAACCTCTCACCCACCAGCCTCACCCACCTACTGACCGGTCCAACCTCACACAGTGACACAAAAGAAAACTTCATTTTAGTCTTCAACGCCAGATGATTGTGGATTTGTGATACCTACAAAATGGAAGCCATAGACTTTAACTGAAGCTTGGCAAAATGAGCAGGTGTAGCTCACTTGTCTACAGCTGGAAGCACCAGTTGGGTTTCATGTTGTCTTTTGGTTAATAATCTCAGTCATATTTATGTGTCTATGACGGCCACCGCCAAGGCTCACTATGGCCGCGTGTGACATTCTTCAACTTGCTGGTCGACCACTACCACGGTTATGCTCAGTAGTCCGTGCCAGACTACCTGATACCTTAGATAACTAAGCCTCCGTCTCCACCCTTGACTATGTCTTTAACAGTGTGTATATTAGTTTATTTTATCTCTGTGTGTTATAATGTTTATTAAACGAATTATCAATTACATTTAATATTTCTCTAACCTCCCTTACACTGCCCCTTAAGGAACATATTTATTACCTTTTACCTTCTCAAAATATACATTATACGGTGACCGTCAGACACTGATGTTGTCACGATCTTTATGGAATATACCAAACAGTTGCTGCTGCTGCTGCTGCTGCTGCTGCTGCTGCGCTATGTGTACTCGGTAGAAACTCGAATACACGATATATCGGCGAACATCATCATCAGCCCAAAGGACACACTGATACACCTACACAGTCCTACACCAGCTACTGACGTCATTACTCACTATTTCTGGAAAGAAGAATGGCTGACTTATCGAGAACTTTTGTAGGATTATGGAAGCTATCGGAGTTTTCAAAGCTCTTTGAAGGACCAGTTTCCCGGCTATCGTCAAGAACATCTCTGCGTCCTTCAGGAGTTATCGGGTCCACACGCAGGACAGACCGAGGGCGTAGGAAGATCTTGATTACGTCGCTGCCCAAGATATATTATTAACCCAAGAACTTGTTCCTGGATCTAATTAAGAATTAAATTAACAACATAAAAACTAAATTTCTTCAGATCGTCAACTAACAACTGTAAGTAAACCACAAAACTTACTTATCACTTGTTTATTAAACATAAAGTAACTTTTGTTACTTGGTAGTTTTATAAGTGAAAGTTTTGTCTTCATTCATTACTGAACAGTTCTTCTCCACTGTGTAAAGTGTTTAGTCATTCTTGAGGCAAAAGCTGATAATATCCCAAGACTTTACTCAAACATTCACTGTATCAAACTTTGTGGGAATTGTCTCCTGTTGCAAAATCATTATCATTCATTGTTGCTAGATTTTCTCTGAATCGCTTCCAACAAATTACTGTATATGAAGACCACCAGCAAGAAGGACTAAATAATAACTTCAAATTTACTTCTGGGTGACTTATATAACTTTTTTTTTTTCGTTTAGCTTCTTAATATATCAAGTACAAACACACGACTATTGTAAACAAACTACCAGGGTGACAGTTTCTCTCTGGGGAACACCCGCGTTATGACGACTTCTGCAGAAAATTATAATTATGTGGTTATGTTAATTAAAACGACAAGGTAAGCTAGCATAAACCAATCCCACAGAACCAAATTTAACTTAACCTAATTTAACACAGCCAACCGAGCTTACAAAAATTTAATCTAAAATAAATAAATCAAGATTAACTCAATGCAACCAAATCTAACCTAACTTTATTTAGGTTAGCATAATCTACAGTGAACATGATTTTCATAAGTAAAATAAAGTCCTTATTACTTCTAATTAATCTTGGTTGGTTTATCATAAGTTACCGAAGATCAGTTACTAAGGACTAGTTACCGTGGACCAGTTATCATGGATCAGCAGGTCGACCTCAGAGAAGGTCTGGGTGATGGCCTCAATACAATCAGGGATGTGGTCCTCTTGTTTCACAACTCTAAGACGACACGGCGTTGTGGCGACCACACAGCGGCTTTTACGACGCAACGAAACAAGGGAAACTAAACGATGCAGGTGGAGGAGGAGGAAGGGGAGGTAGCGAGCAGGTATATAGAGGACTAAACTCAGTCGAGCAGCACAGTCGATCCAAGACAGCCAAGCAACATGTTCTCGGTAAGACCTCCCGGGACTGTCCTGGTCTGGGAACTCATCATGGATCTCAACTCTTGAATAACAAAGTATTATATTTCTGCAGCCAACAGCATTGATTATGATGATGGAAATTTTGCTTACAGAAGTTGGTCCTGTGTGTCTTAGTGGCAGTAGTGGCTGCCAAGCCCCAGGGAGGATACGAGGCACCTCAGCAATCCTACACCTCTTCAGGTCCCGTGGTCCCCATCGTGAAGGACGAGCGTCAAGGACCTGATGCGGACGGCAACTACA